ACCATGCACAAAACTTTAGTCCAAATGGATCAAAGATCCCAACATCAATCCAGCCACACTGAACCTCTTAGAGGAGAAAGTGGGGGGTACCCTTGAACAAATTGGTACAGGAGACTGCTTCCTGAACATAACACCAGTAGCACAGACACTGAGATCAACAATAAATAAATGGGACCTCCTGAAACTGAGGAGCTTTTGCAGGGTAAAGGACACAGTCAACAAGACAAAAAGGCAGTCCACAGAATGGGAAAAGATATTCACTAACCCCACATCTGACAGAGGGTTGATCTACAAAATTTACAAAGAACTCAAGAAGCAAGTCTCCAAAACACCAAAGGATCCAATTAAAAGGTGGGGTACATTGCCAGCCCACAATCTCACTGCAAATCGAGTCTGGGGTACAGGGAGGACCCTAAGAGAGATATGCATGATAACCCGGAGAAGGGTTATGTGATGCGATCTCCAAATTAGATTGGGCATGGGGAGAAGGGGAGAGCAGAAGGTGATGGTAGAAAAGAGAGGGAGAGAAGAGGAGGAGAGAGGACGACACAGAAGAGCAGGAAGGGTGAACCAAGGTAAGAATAGAGGAGAAACGGATGGGAGATACCATAAAAAAGAGAGCCATTATAAGTTGGAGGAGAGATCTGGCACTAGTGAGATTTTCACAGATCTACAGGAATGACACCAACTGGCATTAAGGCTACGTTAAATGCCCTCCCATGATAGTGAGAATAATGACTGCCTTATGTGCCATCCTAGAACTCTGATGCAGTGGCTGATGGAGATGGAGGCAGACACCCACAGCTGTGATCCAAATTGAACTCCTGGAACCCACTTGCAAAGAGGAGTGATGACCAAGGGAATCCGGATCGGGCTGGGGAGGCCCACAGGGACAGCTGACCTAAACAAGGGGCATCACATGGATCCCAGACTGATGATTGGGGGAGCAGCATGGGACTGACTGATCCAGACATCCTCCCACTGAACCTGGATGACAGAGAGGAGGCCTTGGAAATCTGTGGGACCTTGGAGAGTGGAGCAGTATTTATTCCTGGCATACAGAGGGACTCGGGGAGCCCATGGCACATGGAGGGATGCTCTCTCAGCCTGGACACATTGGAAAGACCTGGGCCATTCCAGGGATGATGTGATGGACTCTGGAAATCCCTCATGGAGGCCCTTGCCCTCCCTGGGGAGTGGAAGGAGGATGGAGTGAGGGTGAGGTGTTGGAAGGATTGGGGGTTGGGAGAGGAGGGGAGAGAGAGGGAACTGAAAGTGACATGTGTAAAAAGTTAAATAAAATTATGGGGAAAAAACTAAATGCTCTGAAACATCAACTCATGTCTCTTGTTCTTATAATTACTTTGTGATAGCAGCTAAACAGAAGAAAGCATAAATAACAAATTCATACAAATATTAGTTGGCCCAGATTAGCCCACAACTAAATAGGCTGTTTATCAGAGGTCCTAGGTGGTGGTAGGGCTGGAGGTGGGGAAGGAAGACTTGACACTGGTCATGATGGCACCTACCTGTTAGCCTTGCACTTAGTGGGCAGAGGCAGGGAGAATAGGAATTAAGGCTGGGATTACAGGTGTGTGCTGCCATGCTTGAGTTTATGCAGTGTGAGTTTATTCAGGGTAGGTGAACAGACACAGTGACTAGTCCACGCCTGGCAAAGACACTCTTCTAACTGAGCTATGTTCGTTTCAGACAGGATCTTGCAGTGAAGCACAGGACTGTCTTGAATTTATGCCCTTTGTGTCTGACCTTCCTGAATGCTAGGATCTTAGGTGTCTAACACCTTGCAGGAAACTTAAAAGAAATTATACTAGAAGACTGGAAACAATTTTTGTAAGCATATATAATGATATATGGCTTCTTTATACATTGGTATAGTTAATTTGTTTTTATACTCATGAAAATAATCATTAATATAAAGAAATGCCAAATTTTCAAAGAAGCCAAAAAGATACAAAAGGAAATCATAGTGAAATGAAAATGATACATACAACTACACAGACATTTGAGGTAGAAAGTAGAAAGCATTGCACTTACCCCTCCATTCAGATTAATTATCTCATTTCTCTGCCGTTCCTGAGCCAGTAAGTATTCAGTCTGTTCTCTTATTGTAGAAGTTCTAGTATTCATTATAAAGGGTAAAAATCCAGAAAAATAATTTTTACTAAAACATATCCCTGACAGATTATGTAACATTTGTGAATGATTTCTTTAATTTGTATGTGTGTGTGTGTGTGTGTGTGTGTGCGCGTGTGTGTGCATGTGTGTATGTATGTATGTATATACACATGGAGATACCAGAAGAGGGGACCAAGTATCCTCCACAATCACTTTCCACCTATTGTTTTGAGGCAGGTTTTTCCCTAATACTGGGGCTTGCATTTTCTTGGCTAGTCTGGAAGTCAGCAATCCCCAGTGAATAGTCTTGTCTCTCCCCATTTCAGCAACTGGGCTACAGGTTTGTGTAGGACACATGGTTTGCTATGTGGGTTCTGGGACCCATAGTCTTGTCTTCATGTTAGTACATTAAGTACTCTAAATTCTTAGCTATCTCTCTAGCCCCCATCTAAGATTTTAAGGAGACATTTCAAATTAATACTCTTTATGATATTGAAATTTAGAAAAAAAACCACTTATTAGCTACATGCTGCATCTAGGCAACTTGTAAGTAAATGGATGGGACTAGGAAATATGCCAAGTGGGTAACCCAGACCCAGAAAGACAAACGCTGCATGTTCGTTATTTTTGTGGATAATCTGAATCCTTAGATGAGAATATATAACCTGCAGTAACCTCAGAAGCCAGGAAAAAACAAAGGGACCACAGTGGGAGGAAGAGGTACTCTAGAAGAATAGAGTAGGACACTGGTGCTGTGAAAGGGAAAATGAGAAAACAGGTTGGGGATTTAACTGGAAAGGAGGGAAGAAATACAGAGGGCAAAGGATGGAACAATAATTAACACTAAGAATGTTTAACCAAGTCATAGCACAGCATAGTAATTTTGATCACATAGTAATTTTGATCACATGAAGTATATATATTTAAAATATACATAAACGTGTTTAAAAATATGTAATTCAAATGAAGTTATGCTATTTTAAGTGTCAATGGTCCCCACAAAGATCATAGACAACCTAATAAAAACCCAGGGCTAGGCATAGGAAACCTCCCTTTCAGTTTTGGTCATAGGAGTAAAAGAGACTCCCAAAACAGTGTATGCAATGGCTGTTGCCCTTGTTTGCCTTGCATAATTTGAAGGTAGGACCTTAGTGCTAAAGAGGGCACATACTTTAGACAGTGGACTTGGAGGAAATGAGCTGCTCAGAGGCACATTTACTCAGCTGAGGTTGTGGCTCAGAGGCAAATAATTTGCTTAACATGTACAAGGCCTTGGGCATAACAACAACAAACATATACATATATATTATTTGCTAAAGGCTTTTAGAACTCCTTAGGAATGAGATTAAGGAAAAAATTCATTACCATTAGTTATGTTTTATCAATTTAGCATAATTTGTTGGTACATTACTTTGTCTACCAGTTTGAAAGATGCAAAAGAACTAACTAGCTACTAAGTGAACAACTTTGTTTATTGGGTAGGCCTCAGAGGAAAGATCAGAAACTGGAAAGCAAACTTAGGTACTACACATACATGTCAGTTGATACCATGAGCCACATAACTGGAATAATCTGAATTGGAACTATTTCTGAATTAGGAAAATACATTATTTAGATATTAAGATAAAGAATAGAAAGCATGCTTAGACATTTACGTATGCTTCAAAACATTGTACTAACATTAATAAATCACTGATTTTGCTTTTACCTGTCAATTTCAGGGTCAGATTCTGGTGATGTTTGGTTTCTTCCAAATCTTCCTCTCTGACCACAGTACCTCTCTTCATTTCTGCGAGATCTCCATGTATTGTTGTTATGAGCTCTCCCTACACGGCCTCGATGAAGTCTCCTTAAGTGGTCATTATTAACTCTCTCAGTATGATTGTGACGAATTAGCCCTGTATGGCTAGAACAAGCTCTTCCTCTTTGGCCACAATGAGCTCTCCCTCTGTGGCTAAGATGAGCTCTGTCTGCATAGTTGGGAAGAGCCAGTCCTGTGTGACTAAGATGATCTCTCCCTCTCTGGCCACGGTGAGCTAGCCTTGCATGGCTAAGATGAGCTCTTCTTATGTGGACAAGATGGGGTCTATATGCGTGGTCTTGATGTGGTCTATCTGAGTCATCATGATGGGGTCTATCTAAGTGGTCAAGATGGGGTCTATCTAAGTGGTCAAGATAGGGTCTGCCTGCATGGTCATGCTGGAATCTACCTAAGTGATCATGATGGGGTCTATCTGACTGGCCATGATATGGTCTACCTGCATGGTCAT